ATTGCTGGAAGCTACTGTTTGTTGACTATCCCTGAATGAAATGATTAGAATTTTACAAAGAGGAAGAAGATGGAAATGTAGAAATATGGTCCTTTTAAAAATAACTAGTTTTTTGTGTTTGTTTTTTTAAGCTATGCAGACCTATGGAGAGTTACTATTTTGTTCTCATTGCCAAAGGCATAGAGTTCTCTGAAGTTACTGCATAGTAGTTTAATGTTAAATGTGTAAGTTGTACTTCATAAAAGGTGATATTGAAGAGCTCTTTAAGGAGAAAAAAACTGTTATATTCAAAGCTGTTATTGTCAGGCCAAACTCTCTGAGGGTATTTTCTAAGTCAGCACAAAATTGCCAGAAAGTAAACCAGCTATAGGTTTTAGAGTGACATATGTCTTCTCATTCTGTTTTCTTAGAGAGCTAGAAATCAGAGCAAATGCAACTTAGACCTTGAAATTACTCTGTATCATTGGTATACGGAGGAGGTAATTTGATGTTTTCATAGGTGATTACTGTTTTCAACAGATAATCCGACGGTGATATCATAAGATTGGCTACTTCAAATATCCACATTTGTAACCTGTATGAAAACCCTTTGGAGCCAAGTGTTGTTTTTTGTTTTTCTTTTAATACATTTTCATTGATTTCAAAGAGGAAGGGAAATGAAGAGATGGAAACATCAATGATGAGAAAGAATCATTGATGAGCTGCCTTCTGCACACCCCTACTGGGGATCTAGCCCACAGCTCGGGCATGTGCCTGGACCGGGAATGGAACTGTGACCTCCTGGTTCATAGGTTGATGCTCAACCACTAAGCCAGACTGCCCGGGCATTGTTGTTTTTTAAAATACAAACTGATTTCTCTATTAAACTTACCATAGAAACTTAAATGATAGCCTGATGGTTCATATTTTTCTCTTAAGTTTATCCCATTGCATATTTAGCACTAAAGCAACAAAGTAAAACAAAAGGAGGGATTTGAGGATTTTAAAGAATTTTTAGACAAGACCTTTCTGTGTTTACTATCACCGAAGTCTTTCCGAGACCGTGAACATTTTATAAGTTCTCCAACTTAAATTGGTAACCTCTTGGACAAGTATAAAACCCTTCTCTCCTCACCCTATAATTAGAGAAGGTGATACTGTTTAACATTCCCCCAGAGAATTCATGATGGGAGAGAAAGTGAATCAGAGTGCTCCCACTTGCAGATTTTCTCTGGGCAGAGAAACATAAGTCTACTTGGTTCTTTCCAGTTCGGTAGATAACTGGCATATGAAGTCATAATGCCATTATTGCTTTTGAATGGTGGCCATTAGCTGTTTGTTAGTAATCTTGTGATTTTACTCCAAAAAAAAAAAGTGATAATACAGTAGTTGCCCTTTGTCTCATAATTCTGTGTAACAGCTGAGTGAAGAGGAGGGCCGTGAGGGACGTTTGCTTTGTGTTAAGAGCTGTTAGTAAAAAAAACAAGTGCTTCCTTCATTTGATTATTTAAGGAGTAACTGGCTTCATTTGAGTGGCTCTGATTTGATTTGATAACTCTTTAGGATCTTAAAACGTGTTTAGAAGTGGCTGGAATAGCATAGACCAGTTTAACTTGATTAAAATAGGGATATATGTATTTGCCCTCTCTTGATAAAGGGGCATGAGCATATTGGTGTTAATACATTTTATTTTAATATAATGATAGAAAGGGGCTGACTAGAGTTTGGAAGGATCGCATCCTCCCACTGTCTTAGAGTTCCTGGTTAACTTGGTTAATGTTGATTCCTGTCCTCCAGCAGACCTCTTTCTTACTTTCTATCTACACGTTGACTTGTACTGCCCTGAGAAAAGAGAGAAAACTAAAGACATTTTACTGGAAGCCTGAAATAGAACTGAATTACTTTCCCTCTTATAAAAGCTTGTATTTTCTGAGAAGGGTACTGGGGCATAGAAATGGGAGGAATTGCTCTTCTCTTGCAGGTTTCAGGCTTTGTGTGGCTGAGCTGAACCTCAATTGCCCCGCCATTGTAGGGCAGGCTTGAGAGTACTAGGAGTTGTCCACTGAACAGGGCCCCTAATGCACATAAGTGTCTGAGCTCACCTGAAAGTTGCATTTGTCATTTAGGGGCTATGTACACATGCTTCAAACAGTGCTGCACAGGAATTAAGAACCTTTTTGAGCTCTCAAGCCTGTGTTCATTCCATTCTTGTTTTCCATTAAGGCAGACCTTCAACTCAACAAGAGAGCCGACAGTGGACCATCTACTCGTCTGGCACTACCTACCTTTCCCGGTTGCACAAGCTGCTTTAGAACTAGATCTTGGGTTCACACTCAGATCTTTGAAGTTTTCTTCTATCTCAGCACTGATGTCTCTATTCCACTGTCACATTTACTGAGCATCTCCTTGAGCCACATCCTGGGATAACTTGCTTTGAGAGTTGGGGAAGAAATAGATGATGTACTTTTTCTCTTCAGGTATTCTTAAAATCAAATACGAGAAATGAAGATTAATATCTGAAACAGTATATGGCAGTATGTAAAATTAGAGGATATTTTGAACAGAAGAAGACCTTTTAAAAGCCGTTAATTTTGACTTAGTATTTCACAGATGAGGAAATGGTGGCCCATAGAGGTTAAATGATCTATGCAAGATCACAAACCGTACTTTGTAGTGCACTGGTGTTTAATGAAATGCTGAAGTTGTGTTACACCTGTAACTGCCAAAGTAGTTAGGAAGGGAAGAGATGGATAAGACCTAAAGTCAGAGAAAGCTCTGAGAAAGAAGTATCACTTGAACTGGACCCTGTGAATTAAATAGGATAGGGCTAAGAGAAGGGCGGGAGGGGGGTTTGGGGGTGGTAGTTGTACTTGTGTTTGAGATAGGAATGCTAGAATAAGGTTATAGATTGTGAGTGACGTAGTAGAGAAGAAGGTAGAATTGGAGTCAGATAAGAAAAACGCAGTAAGAGTTTTATCTTTTCCTTAAGAAGCATCTGAAGTTTTTTAGTGGATGGTGAAAGTGCCCTGTGTGTATAGTGGGTGACAGAGAGGTAACCCTGGAGTCCCAGCCTGGAAGGTTGCAGTAGCCAGGTTGTGAGATAGGTAAGTGCCTGCATAGGTGTCAGGACTAGGAATGAAGCCGGGGTGGTTTGAGAGAGGCTGAGAGGAAAAACGGGGGGATTTCTGCTGGCCAGCTGGGGGCATTTGAATAAGTCTCCCGTGTAACTGAGAAAAGGATATGCATTGAGGATGCTTCCGAGAAATAGGATTTAATTGGGTCCAGTTTTCACAACAGCTGGATTTCGGTAAACAGCTCCATTTCAGGTGTTTAAATGACCAAACGCAAAAAAAAAAAAAAAAAAGGTTGGGGCTGTTTCTTTTTTCTTCTTCACTATTTTAGTCTGGTATTGGTATGCTTTAGCCTGTTGATAAGAATGCTTATCAATCTTGTTGACTAAACCCAGAATATTGCATTTACTCTTTTGAGAATGAAGACTGTTTGAGTTCTCTTATAGCAGGTAATTTGATTGCCTTTCATTATATTCATTTATTCCCCTGTCATCTGGATGGACTATTTCCAAGTAGGTACTAAGAATGAATGAACTTTCAGTTCCTATACAAGACTCCTTCTGGGAGGCTGGCTGAAGACCAGTCATCCCTGTTTGGAGAAAGAGATGTTTAAGGAAATGCAATGTTCCTTTGGGGTCTTTCAATTTTCACTTCTGTGAGCCATGGTAGTTAAAGTCATTATTGAATAGCTACCATTTATGGAGCATTTACTCTATGCCAGCGGTTCTCAACCTGTGGGTCGCGACCCCTTTGGGGGTCGAACGACCCTTTCACAGGGGTCGCCTAAGACCATCGGAAAACACATATATAATTACATATTGTTTTTGTGATTAATCACTATGCTTTAATTATGTTCAATTTGTAACAATGAAAATACATCCTGCATATTAGATATTTACATTATGATTTATAACAGTAGCAAAATTACAGTTATGAAGTAGCAGTGAAAATAATTTTATGGTTGGGGGTCACCACAACATGAGGAACTGTATTAAAGGGTCGCAG